ATACATTATTGACTTATCTATGTAGAAGTAACATTACTGAGCTCTCATACTAGTGCCCTCATTGTACTTCTTACGGGCAGGAAAGCCAAAAAAAAAAAAATTGTACCCGACTCAAACTATTCCAGTGTTCTCAGATCAGCTGCTACATTCTCTCTTTCAAAACAGTGATAATTTTATTATCATGACTAGAAAAGGAAGACCAGGTTTAATATTCAGTATCTTCTGCAAAAGCTAGCTTAGAGCTCCAGGACAGCATTCCTGTTTGTATAAGCAAGGTGCTCCTGATCAAAAAGCAAAAAAGCAGATGAGATCTCACCCAAATAAATCAATGCATTTATGGAACAGAAAATTAATATTCTACCTTGTTTGCCAGTATCTCTTCAGCTCCACCAGCAAGACAATACTATAAGCTAGCACACCTTAAGAACAACATGACAAAGCCCAAGTGTAACAAAAACATTGTGAGCCATGACTTCAAAATACTTGCAGCAGCTCTTCAGGCAGCATACTAGGTATTTAAGAAATAAGATCATTTGGACAGTCTCACACAAGGCCCAAGAGTTGCTGAGGTATATTTCAGTTTTAAATTCTTCACCAAAAAAAGGCATGCAGATGCATACAGATGTAGGCAGACACACACATATTCTGAAGAAGGTACAAGGGGTTTTAGAAAGAAAAAAGTTTTTCTGCTTTTCTTGGTTAGGGAAAAAAAACAACCCCAAAAAAGCCCCCAAAACAACCACAAAGCACACACATGGACTTGATTTCCTTGCTTTTACAGAGGAGTCACTGCAGTTGTACAGAAGCTCGACTGAGACATAAGGGCAGGGGCTATTAAAAAAAAAAATAAAAAAATTAAGACTTCACATAAACCCCCGTTAATGTTCCCTAGCCATTCAGCCAAGCAAATTTTGAAACTTATCTGAAAAATCCCTTCCTCCAAACAATTCCCATTTCCAATACACTAATCTGGTTGCAATTTGCTGAGAAGTTAAAAATCCAGATTTCTTAAAAAGAACTCGCATTCCCTTCTACGTACTAACAACCACCTTAAATGAAGGCTTTTCACACTCTCAAGTTGCTTACCTTCCCCTTCTCCCACAAAAGCAACACTGCAATTTGTGGAGAACAGTCAACCCCAAACAAGAAAAGGAAATAATACACTTACACAAACCAGGCAGTTACAGATGGAGCTAGAAGTCAGGGATGTCACCCAAAGGACTATGATCCAGGCAATCAGCACTCCAGCAACTTGGGCAAGATAGTTAATCCATGCCCAATGCTGATATGATACACGACCCTATTCATTTACAGTGGGGTTTAAGACAATCCCAGCTGCAGAGGGATCAAACTCACCAAGAAACTCAGTCTAAAAATGCAACAGTCCAAATGCCACTGGATAATTACTTTAAGATATAAGCAAAAGGCCAAAACCCCCTCCATGTCCCTTTCTTAGCATATATTTTATTCATTAAAAATTTTAACATAAAAAGTTAACATATGTTACCTAATATACGTTATATTTTGTAACATCAATTTTAACATAAAAATACAGCTTGCAATTCTGGGGAGTCATATACTGGGGCGAGAAGGGAAATTAATTCATGCAAAAAATAACCTAATGGCCAAAGAAAATGTATTTCCAAGTTACTAATCTAAATGTTATTTTTGGAAAAATGTATCCAAGAAAAAAATAAGAATTGTTTGCTTGAAGCTGCCACTGCGGCACTGGGAGCACAATTTACCAGTTAGAGCCATCCCAGTACCAGATTTCCAGCATCTTGATACCAGGCACTAACACAACACTAACTGCCTAGTTAGAATAGCGTACAAACTGACATCTTGCTAGAACATTTCACATAAAGGACAAGAAAGGCTCTTGCATAAGCTCAGAAATAAAGGCTGCTGCCTCCAAAATTAGACAAAGATGTCAGAAAAAGCAGTATGCACATTTGACAGCTTTTAACCACCAAAACATTACTACAGTTTTGCTGTTTAATAATGCAGTGGTAGAAGTTGTATAATAAAAATGCTAAAGAAAAATCCATAAACCAATAAAACAAAAGGTAATTCATAATTTGATGAAGATATAAATAAGTTATTAAGCTGTAAATACTATCCAGCACATTATTATTTACTTACCCAAAGGGTGAACAGGAACAAAATGTTTGTAGAACGAAGAACAATTAGCACTAAAGAGCAAGAGAAAGTGTACTAAGGAAGCACTGCACTCACACTGTTCTGTACAATAAGAGCTAACATACCCTAGAATACTATTTTGTGCTCATATCAGAATCATAAGTTTCAATTCTGCTCATCTCACTGTGAATAGCTACAAGTTTAAAACACACAGCAGCATAAAAGGAACTGGAGAAGAATTTAGAGACAGCTCTGAATGGCAACTCTTTCATCTCAGCATAAATCCACAGTTAAAAAGTATGAGCAGCCATTTCTTTGTGGAAGAAACTGATTTAATGTAGCTGCCCAAGTGAAGTTCTCAGCATCTTTACTCCTCTCAGCTTCTACCTGTGCACTCAAAAGGCTTTCAAAAGCCCTTTACAAATGCAACAGACTGATTCTGTAAATGAAGCAAACATTTCTGCTGCACAAGGTTCTATGTTTTATAATCTTGTTCAAGGAACTAGTACAACAGTAAAAAAACCACATTCAAATCCTTACCTTGTCTTTGAAGGGGGAGGCAAGACACAATGAAAAACATAGTGCTATGATGCTGATGCGACTACACAGAGACATGTTTTAAATCCTAGAAAGTTGCATTTCTCATTCTGGTTCTAATTCTCTCTCTCTCTACTTATTTTTGATAAAACATATAGCTGAAAAAAAATTCTCTTTTCAATGTAGGCATCTGTACAGTCAGAAAAGGAAGACCACAGCAAGTCGCACCACCAGAGTGGGAAGGGCAGCAAACTCCTTTACAACTGGATCTATTTCCACAGCACAGATATAGGCATCCCACACCATCTCCAAGAGGGCACCCTTGGTGTCCTGATGAGGAAGAAGCCACCCCCAGGTTCTAGGATGAGGAGGGGATAAGAATAGGATGAAAACCTAGGAACAGCAGGAGAGACCACATTCAGAAAGCAGGTGGTAGAACTCCTTGCCTTAGAATGACAGAGTAAACCTGAACTGAAGTCCTCCTCAGAGTATGCTGCAAGACCCACCTTCTTGCACAAAGCTTCCTTCAACAAGGACAAACAGTAATTTGTCAAAACCTCACAGAGGAAACAATTGTGGCTATACCAAGCAATAAAAAGGAAGAGTCAAAGCTTGTTCAGGCAGAAATGGTGGTGATTTTTCACTTGTACGTAATGTTTCAATACCCTAAAATAGGCGTATTAGAACACCTGTTATTTATTGTAATCTGCACAGGGATAATGTTCTCTGCATTCACTTGAGCTTAAAAAAAAAAAAAAAGAAAACAAAAACAAAACAAAAAAGAAAACAATCACCTCTGAGCAAAGCAAGCATGGAAAATTCCAGCCTCAACCAAAAGTAGAATTTTTCCACAAGATTAGCAACATAAGAAAAGAGAGTCCTAAAATTACAGCAGAGCTTTAACAATAGCATGGCAAAGGCTGCTCCTCACCAGGATCCACAGATCTACTCTAAGAACCTTTGTTCTCCACTAAATCTGTTGATACCTCTCAAAACACACATCACCCTATGTAAAGGGCCACCTACTTAAAAAAAAAAAAAAAAAAAAGGAATTTAATCAGCTTAACACGCTGCTTCTCCTTAGGCTTCAGCTCTTTTGACACAGTTTCTATATCAATATTAAACAAGCAGATCAAAATAGGTTCATGAATGCAAAGCGAAGATAAACTCCTTCTAGTAGCAATTTGGCCAACATAAGAGGAGAGCCAGAAGGACAAGTTGCCTACACTGGAGTACAAAAACATACTTTATAGAGCAATACAGCTATTTCAGCAACCTTGCATGGAATTAACTACATTAATGAATAAAGAAACAAGAGTACAAGGGTCTTACGATGTAGAAGATGACAGCTATCACAGTCTGAAATCACTCTTGCCTGTTGACAGTGGCATGCAGTTCTTAACCAAGAAGTAGTTAAGAACACTGGTAAGACACCACAATCCTACTCTGCCCATAAGCATTTGAAAAGAATTGGTTTGCAGTGGTACAATTTGGGCTCTAAGTAATAACACACCTAACCCACAACTAGATTACACCATAAATTAACCAGCCTTCCATAGTAAGAACTCTACTACACACCAAGTTACAAACCTCCCCAAAACCTCACCCGCCCCCCCCCCGAAACAAGAATGGGGAGGAAAGACAACAAAGAAGGAATCATATTTAATTAACATCCCTGGTACTGAGCAGCCCTGCGCTACCTGAAAATCAGCTAAAAAGCACCGTTCTCTGGTATTGCAAAGAAGAGGGCAGATTTCAGAGAACTAAACGCCAAGCGGCTCACGCAAAACCATCGAGGACATTTTCCAGCGTGCGGGAGAAGGCACGAAGAGAGAGGCCTACACAAACGGCACCAGAGGAAAGTTTAGCTGGGGCCAGACCACGGGAAGAACCCTTCCGAGAGAACACTAAGATTGAAAACAAAAACCAAACAAACAAAAAACAACAACAACAAAAAAAAAACAAACCGCTAAAAGTTTGGGGGCGGGGATCATATTCTTTTTCTCACTCAGAGAAACACAGCCGGACGAAATGGAGCCCGAAGGCCAGAGGCGACATGAGAAGCGGGCGGGAGTAGGATGCGGGGGTCTCGACGGGTGAACAAGAACCGAGACCGGATGTTACCTGAGCTGTGGGCAGCGACGGCGGTGCAGCCACTCTCTGAGGCTGTGGCGCGGTGAAAAAGACGGCTGAGGCGAGGAGAGCGGGAAGTGGGGGGGAGGAAAGAAAGTGGAAGCCTCCTTCACCTCAGGCGGTCCCGGTACAGTGAAGCAGAGCGAGGTAGGCCTCCACCCTATCCAGGCAGCGGCCGAGTCAGCACTCACAAGCCCGCACCACGAGAGAAGAGAAAACCCAACCACACACGCTCCGCGACAGCCGCACACATCAAGCCGCAACTGCGCATGCGCAACATCCGGGTAACAACCATCTCTCCTCTACCGCTGTTGCAGTTCCTCGCTCGCCGCCTAGCGGTTACCGCGCCGCTGGCGGGGGCGGGGGGAGAGGGGAGGGCTGGGCTCGTGCTCGTGCTCGTGCTCGTTGAAGGTTTCTTTTTGTGTTTGGCGTCCACACGAGTTAAAACCTCTGCAAATGCAAATCTATAAAATGCACAGTCCTGCAAAGTACAGAACCCCACAAATCCAACCCCAAGAAATGCACTGGTCCGCAAATGCAATTGCTTTCCTGTGAAATACGAGCTCACTCCTCTAATAGAGATAACAGGGTTTTATTGAGGGCCAAAGTCAATAAAGCAAAAGGAACAGCGCTGGGTTCGTGACCGTAGCCAGAGGCGCACTGATTAGCATTTGTTACAGATTTATATGCTTTCACTATTGCATTAGTCATATACATATTCATAATTCTCGCATATAGGCAGGGAATATTATAACTAGCTCCAGGAACTTATTATCATAAATCTCCTCCTCTTGGCGTCTGTGCACTGCTCTCCGGTGATTGTGGGCGGGGGTCTTCAGGATGAAGTAAGCAGTCTTCCTCACAGTGTATTTTTCACCTTTGGTACAGTTGGATGCCCCAGTAATGACACAACTACCTGAAACCAGCCATATCTGTAATTCTGATAGCTGGCAAAGATTTAGAAGTGTGCCCTTCCTGCAAAATTTATTGCAGGATGGGCAGACAAGGAGTATCCCAAACCAGCAGATGTTTGGGAGGCTCTGTCTCTAAACTAGCTGATAAGTAGAAGGATGGTGTGAAACGACTCATTCATGTTTAGTGGGGCCACTAAATCCTGTTATCTCACCACAGACAACACAAACATTGTTCTTTAAAGCTAAAGATGCTTTAGAAGGCTAGTGTGAAACAATTAACTCATGTTTAGTGGGGCCACTAAATTCCACAGACTTACAACATAAACATTGTTCTCTTTCTACAACCTAAGTTAAGCTAAAAAGTACTTTAACTCTATGTTTTTCAGGCACTAGCTTTTCTTATATCAAGCCCCCCTTCCTTTCTTTTACCTTTACAAATTCTTTTGCTACGTGACTCTGTTTTGCTCAAGAGTTCTGGACATTTTCAACTTGTTGTCTAATCTTGTGTCCTTAGCGAGCTTTGTTTGTTATTGTGAACTCATACAGTTATATCCACATAGCCACGCCTATGATTTGCGCAAGCCAATACATTTATGTGTTTATCACAATCCCCCCCTTTCTTTTTCTTAATCCATTTGGCTTGAGCCATAATTTCCATTTCCGGCTTTTCTCATTCATTCATTTTTTTCGAAGATTAGTTTTGCCTCCTCAGAGGGATCATCACAAGACCGAATTTTTAACATTCTAATTTTTCATTCTGTTCCCTCAGGAGTAAATATTTCAAACTGTAATTGCTCTATGGTCCTACAGACCATTCTACTAATCAGGGGAACAACACAAGGTAGAACAAGTATACCAGTTATTAGCAAAACAAAACCCAGCAGAATTTCTTTTAACCCCCCCCCCCCAAAGTTCCACCAGTTATTGTTCCACTATTTTTCCATATCCAAGTTAAACATTTTCCAGGTTTGAATGGGAACATGTGCGACCTTTTTCATTTCAGTAATTATCTTTTCAATAGCTTTTCCTTCATCATCTATATGTAAACAAGTTAGATAGATTGAATTTCCCACACACCCCCCCTTCCTGGGCCAAAAAGTAATCCAAGGTTAAGCAATTTTGATATACCGCTGTACGAACTTTGCTATTCTGTTTGGCTAATAGGGTTAATGCATCACCAGTTTTGTTAGTCACAATTTGCAGGACTGCTTGCAACCTAATTATGCGATTTAACGTATATATAGGAGTTTGGTATCCCCAGGATCCACCCTCAGCCCAGGAAGCAGGATCGTAATATGCAATAATTTGCTCTGGGGGCCACTGATCATCTTTCCAGTTTCCAATCTGTAGGTCCCTTTTTGCCCGGGATATTTCAGATACATCAGAATAGACTGGCACCCCTAATCGTTCCCCCCTGTGTATTGGTAATAAAAAGAAACTTGGCCGGATGGTTCCCAAAACACATGTTCCAGTCCAATTCCCAGGTAATTCAGAGTATGCATATTTACCACAGTATAGTCCTTCTGGAGATTCACACTTATCCCCAGGATTCTTATTTAAAATCCAATTTTTCCCTCCAGCTGCAATAACCGAAGGATGGCCCCAAGTTTTCCATTTTCTTACAGTTTCATTCCAAATTCTACTATTTTCACAAGTTAAATGCCCCACTGTTTTTTTTCCCTTGTCTCCCAGGGGTCTTTTGCCAACAGTTTTGGCCAATGATACTCATCTGTAGTACCCATTTTTTCGCTCTCTGGACTTTGCTTGAGTTCCATATATTATTGTCAGTGATATTAATTTCCTTCGACTCCCAAGGCCATTGTTCTCCCATATTGGTACCTCCACAAACATAACAATTACTTATATTGAGTACTTTTGCTATATTTTCTGCCACATTCACAAACAAATTTCTGGCAATTGTGGGAATTTCATATTTGTTTCATTTCATGATAGAAAGAATGGAGCAGTAGTTCCTCCTCCTTGTCTGAGTGTACAACTTCCTGAATCTTAGTATAGATTAGAGTTCCTGGGTCTGAACCAGTGCTGTCAATCTGCAGGCCGAAAGTGTGTTCGGCCATTTTCCAATCCTCATTCCAGGTTCTCGGTTTATTTATGGTTAAGTTCAGTGGGTTACACTGGTTTCTCCTGCATTTGTTTGGGGCGGTCATTCTCTCTATCATAACTACACAGTATCCTCACTCCTCTAGTCTCTTGGTATACTTTCCTGGAGTATAATCTGTGGACCAAATAACACAGGTCCAAGAAGTACAATAATTCCAGTTCCTTGTACAATCAGAACTTGCCATTTTATATTTTTACCTCCAAGAGGAGCACATATATTTTTGGTCGTGGGAGTAGGTTCGCACCCATTCCATACTTCCACATCCCCCTGCCCGCTTACCACTGTCTATTGCTTCACAAGCATCAAAAATTACGCTTGCTGGACTATTTATGTTGGTAATTTCAGTTCGCCCTACTACTGTTCTGTCTTTCCCCAGGGACCGCACTTCCAACCACCATTCCTTCACTTTCGCTTTAGGATCATAACAGATTATCTTGCCTTTAACATTACATCTAGCGTACTCTGTATTGTTATGGGTACACATCTCGAGCGGGGTTCCACTGCGTTGATAATGGGTGTGATAAAGTTTGCATGGTCAAGTGCCCTCTCAAAGTGGTCTTTATGCATTCCATGCAATCAGAGGAGGCTTGTACTCGTCATAGGGACAGGAGCCATAAGATGATCAGAGGTCCAGTATGACATATGCCTCCACCCCCCCGACCTGTGGGGTTGCTGCCCACAGCCGAGATATGTTTGTGCTTTTCGGTGGCAGGCATAGAGGCCAACCTGGGCTTGCCCTCAGCCATCTTATTTCCTCCTATTCAATTTTCACGCAAACTTTATTCACAGACCCTTATTGTGGATTTCCACTTATCTTCAGTTACCTCCCACTCCGATGGTACCAATAACTCCCAGCCACAGAGTAGAGTAAGTATGTCAGCATCCCATAATAGCTGTCTATATGAATTATTACGACACGACATACAACTCAGGTGTCTATTATGGGAGCTGCAATTTCACTTCTGCTTACAAGTCTTACACTGACAGAACACCCAACTAGTGTGTCTTGTATTGGGGTGTCTTAGACATGATATATATATATATATCGGTGAAGGCTCTTGTTCCTCTATTACAGGATCACAAGACCGGGCCAGTTCCCATGTATATCTGAAATATGTAATCCAGATCCCCAAATTGGGGAATATTACTTCCCCAGGAATAGAACTGGAGTTTCCTCAAAGTATCCCACAAGGAAATTTGAAACCAGTCATATAAGTTCACCCTTAACCTTTTGTCTCCCTGTATTCACACATTATTACCTAGAGCGAGGTGTCCCTGCCCATGGCAGGGGGGTTGGAACTTGATGATCTTAAGGTCCTTTCCAACCCTAACTATTCTATGATTCTGTGATATATTACTACATAGTCCTCTTCTTGAGAGTCAGTTTGGTGTCACCTGCTGTTGATATTACAGTCCATCCCTAGGTTCTTCCATAGGTCCTTTAATCCTGCTGGCATGGGTCCATTCTCTTTCAGCCTTTCCCGGCTCCCAAGGGTAAACCAGAGCAGGTTCTGCTGCAGGAAGTGCAGCTCATAATTTAA